ATCATACGCCTTGCTCAGAAATGATTATAGTCACGTCATCAGAATCGGCACGCCCTCTGTTGTACACTATCTCCCCCAGTGCAATATACTTTATTACTCCATAGTTGGTTGTTATCACTAGCAAAGGTGAAAGTGAATTAAGTATTATATAAAATGGCTGAAAGCGCACCACAAGATATGACAAAATTAGTTCGCCCGTATTATTTAAATTCTTCTTGCCAAGAAGGTAATAGGTGCAATTTTAGACAGACACCTAGATTTCGTGAAAATATCGTCTGCCGTTTTTCTTTGAAAGGCATTTGCATGTTTGGTGATAATTGTTGGTATTCTCATCCAAAAGCTGAAGATGATGTTTATTATATATCTCAACCTTGCAGTGAAGAGCAGAATACTGGTCATTTACAGCAACAGACAGGGAATATGGATATTTTTCCCGCCGAAAGAAATTTTCAAAATTTCAACACTAGTTTAAATGGTGAGGCATCTCTTTGTCGTGAATCAGATTTACACGACTGGATAAATGCACCTGAATTCGTGCCGACAAGCAGCAAATATTTAGCCACTGCTTCGAATTCAAATGACAGTGCTGATAGTTCAGAGCCACAAAAGTTGGATATGGAATTCTGCCCGCACTTCTTTGACGGTGTTTGCCCATTCGACGATTGCCCATGCATCCATGGAGAGTTATGTGAACTGTGTCAAAGATATTGCTTGGATCCCTTTGATGAGAAGCAGCGAGGACTTCATATTGCAGTCTGTAGGCATGAGCGAGATACGGATAATCGACGCGATTTGTCATGTGGTATATGTTTTGTTCTGCTGAAATTCTCTTTTTAAGTGCAGATTTTATTCATGTTTAGTGCATTTGACAATGGTAACTACGATTTTTTTTAAATTGTTTTAAGATTGCTTCCTTTATTTTAATCTTATTCGTCGATTCTACTACACATGTTTTGAATTTATGATTTTTTATACATACTTTTTTTAAGTTAGTTTGAAAGTTAAACTTAAAGCGAGTTTTATTTAATAAATGATAATAGTTAATTTTAGAAATAATCTATTTTGATGTTGACTTATTTCAGGTTAAATCTTAGATGCAAAAACATTTTTTATTTTTCTATCAATATGTTTCTAAAAAAACTTTTAGTGTAATATAATTGTTGAGTAATAATTAAATCTCTGAGTATTTTATTATTATTATTATTATCACTTGTTTAAGAAAGTAAAGCTGAAATTGATTCTTCTAAATTAATAAATATGGTATATGATGAGCATTTTTGAATCTACAATATGACCTGCAGTTGAATATATGTCAATATATAGACAATACTTTTGTAAAAAGTGCAATACAGTGGAGCATCGTTTATACGACGCCGAAGGGACCACCGAAAAACGTCGATTNTGTAAAAAGTGCAATATTTGTTTAGTTTTAACTGTGGAAGAATTTTTTTATTATGTTCAGCTAAGATTCTGTATTTGTGTGCTGATATAATTCCTGCTTATTGCATTTAATAACTGTTACTGT